AATATGACTCAAGTAGGATGAATAGATTGGGCTTTCCGAAAGCTAGAATATGGTATATGGGCTTAACATAATAACCGACACTTCATATTCTTATCAGTAATTCTATGTTCAGTTTTGAGAACTGTGCAGTTAGGAATCAATACCACCACACTAATGTCCCACCAGAATGGACGTGACAGTGATTCAATATCGAATTGATTGAGGTTATCGCTTATTTGAGGTTATCAAAAGAATCATAAGAATCCTCCTGATGTTAATAAACCGGAAGATAATTAAAAAAGAAGGCGGTAGTAACGGATTAGGAAATGCATGCAGTTATTTCAAAGTGTTTAATTGTATTCTTAACACGCTTAAAGTGAAAATCTACATCAACATTATTTATACGTCAGGTAAAGCATGAATATAACAACGAAGAACGATTTAGTATGAAGATATTTTAACAAGTCACATTAAGATGCACAGCAATAACCTTTGATTAATGGCTGAAATTGTAGACCGTATAAGTAATTTGTGCTAAGAAATAGGAAAATAATCAGTATGATAGAAGTGTTGATACTGGTATTGTTTCTGGACTAAGTTATAAAGTCAGTTAACGTTTATGCTTGTAAACTGTCCCTATGAGTTTATTTACAACTACATCTGTATTAGTAGGCTAACTGAAGAAACATAAGTATAAATGCGGAGAGGAATAATTACAACTTATGTTCCGGTCAGTTCGTTCAGTTCAATACGGTTTATTTAGTTGTGTGGAAATTTTTAATGTTCTGATGTGCAGTAAACCATTTGTCTATATTCATACGTACTGGTTAGTTGTGTATACAAGTCAGTTACGAGTATCAAGTTTGAGATAATATGGAGATCCAGTTGTATAAATCTAAGTCATTATAAGTCATTGAGATTAACTGAGCTCATGTGCTACAAATATAGGTGATGTGGAGTTGCACATTGCTGCCGGCTAGATAAATCTTCATAAAATGACAAACAGTGAGCGCTGTTCTTGTGATTATCAGGGAGAGCTCAGTTTTGACTAAAGGGAGTACAACTACCAACTCATGCATATGATAATGGATTGAACCTTTGTCAATGTTGGGGTAAGTTCGACAGTGATGTTTTCAGTGTGCAGGAGATATGCTCGACTGCTTGTGCTGATAATTTGCTTACAGATTTGCGTCGCTGAACCTCCAATTAGTCTGACAGGGTCCAAAGAAGTTAAATGTTGGATATCTTTCCCCAGTTATCTCATGTTCAGCTTTAAGGGTTGTGTGGTTAGGACCAACACAACTGCAGTAGTAATATCTTGACATTTACATTGATGATTCTCACTTTGATATTGGTCGACAGCTGTTTTAAGTAGCATATGTTCTTGTTCTGTAAAAATGCTGCCCTTACTTCGGCGGCCCTTGTCTTTATGAGAAGTCTTTGTCAGCGATGATGTCTCCCAGATTCATGAAAGTTTACACCTCTCCCAGAATTTCTCCATCAAGTGTAATTGCACTGGTGTTTGCCGTGTTGCAATTGAGGATCTTGATTTTTCCCTTGCGTTTGTTGGGGCCTACCGATGTAATGCATTCTGCTACACAATTGGCATTTATCTGCATTTCTTGATTTGTATGAGATAGAAGAACGAGATCATCTGCGAAGTCCAAATCATCTAGTTGCATCCAACAGCACTCTGTTGAGAACGTTTCCTGGTACTGACAGTAGTGTGGATTCTGCGTAGTTCACTCATTTGCTTAGACCTCCTTTCTTTAGTATCTTGATGAAGTGTCCTTTGCAGTCCATTGGCACTTGTTTTATTCTGAAATCCTCCTGAATAGAATGTGGAGTATGTTTGCTGATACTTCTATGTCTGACTACAGTGCTTCAGGTGGCATATTGTCAGGTCCTAATGTCTTTTCATTCTTGACTTGTCTAATGACCATCCTGATTTCTTCCGTTGTCAATAAAGTGACATCTATAAGAAGGTCTGTATGTGCCGCCCCGATGTCCGTGGGATTCAACGAAGCTGGCTTATTCAAGAGTTACTTAAAGTGTTCCATCCACCTGTTACTCGGTTCTTGAATCTCAGTGATTAGCCTGCCTTCTCTGTTCATGAACGGCTTCTCTGGTTTACTATATTTCACTGCCATATATTCCACTGTTATAGATTTATTTCATATTTCCTCATCTTGCAGCGTTTTCCACCGTTGTTGTAAAGTCTTTCATGTAATTCTTCATGTCAGCTCCAATGTTCCTCTATACTGACTTCTTCGTTTCTGTATGCTCAAACTGTGCCTTTTTTCTTGTTCGACTGTTCTTAATTTCTGTCTTCTTATTCTTCTTTTTTCAAATGCTGCCCAGAGTTTCGATAGAAATCCATTCCTTATGATGATGCTCGTTGCGTCCAAACATTTCCTGACAGATTGAAGTTATAGCTTCATTGACCAATTTTCAATTGTCCTCCACAGTAGTATCTTCTTTGAGTGGATCTTGTTAGGCTTGGAACATGCTGTTCGGATCTGTCTCGAATTCGTTAATCTTGTCAGTATCTTAAAGAAGGGCTATATTGAACCTCTGTAGTGTCGGTATCATTAATAAGGTTTTACTTCATAATTTCGAATAAATCAAGCATTGGGCAGATTGTTTTAAATAAATGGTATACTTGTAATATCCCAAGTAGTAGAAAAATTAGATTTTCTGACGTTCCATGACTCAATGTAAGCTACTTGTGTACGGTAATAGTTTGGCAGCACCAAAATGTTCAGTAAGTAATCTGTTTACTTCAAGTATAAATTAAAGAGGTGTATTATGCTCCGTAGGAAAAACTAACATAGCTTCAAAAATTAAAAAGCCCTTGGTATCCAATATGATTAACACGTGTAAAAGGCATGTTAGACCCGGGTTGTACGTGAACAAATTCATACGTACTTGGGAGGCCTTTATCAACAAGTTTTGTAGACACATGTGATCCATATGCCGTGCTTAGCTCCAAGAGAATACTACTCCATATTAGTCCATCACATATGAGCAGAAAGTTTAGATGGATAATGTTTGTAGCGTAGGATTTTGGATTTGTAATCTGAGGGCTGAATGATTTGTTTGAAATAAAGTTTTTCCAAGTGTTTGTCTTGTATATTTCGATTTTAATCATAGTACTTTATCGCGAAGGTCGTATATAGACAGGCCTTGAGCAAGGATTTTAGCATAAGAAGAATAAGTCCGCATGGTAGCTTAGAGTCAAGAATTAAATAAATCTTAGGATTTTTTTTCCATACGGGTTCAAGTCCTAGCATTTATTAATACATAGTGTAAAAATAAGTTTTAAGCATTCTACAATTAAAATAGCGTTGTGTTTCATAAACATCAGCAAATCAGACAGACTGAAGTTGTAAAGTAAGAACGGATAGTATTTGATAATGTGCTTTACACGTGTCAAGTAAAGAATGATCCAAAACACATTTTAAAAGACAATCCTTGGAATAAAATCTAGAGCTTTACATGCTTTGATTGAGATTTATTTAAAAAAACTTAAACAATATGAGTATTTTACTACAAAAGAAATTGCCGATACAAGTTCGAATAATACGTTTTGTTAGGTGTGAACTACACTTCAAAAGATGTATTTCCCAAACAACCAGCAGAATTCCTTTGCGTTGCACTCTACACTTCACTTAAACAAAAAATCTGTTTTATTATAAGTTATGCATTTTACGTCCTTAAAACTGACTAACAGATGACACGCATCCAAAATTTCATTGGTGCACTAGCATGAAGATGTAGAATATCAAAGGTATGCGAATTCAAGCAGGTCAACGCACCTGTAAAATATTTCTCATTCAGATTTCTAAATTTATTCTATAAAATGAATTTTCAGCCCATCTAACAAACGTCTGAAAAAACAGACTCCATGATAAAAAAAATTATTCAAAAACCTGTATAACACTCAAATAGGTAGATAAAAATGAATTCAAAAAAGCAATTCAAATAAAGATTCAATAAGCTTATGAAAAAAGATATATATATATATATATATATATATATATATATATATATATATATATATATATATATATATATATATATATATATATATAGATAGATAGATAGATAGATAGATAGATAGATATAGATATAATTCCGTGGCTACCATAAAGCTTCAACAAATATATAAAACAACAACTATTTAATTCGAAGTAATTGAATTATAGTAGAACTGAAGATTACCAGAAATAACGCAATTGCATCAAGAGGCACCAGATAAGCACAAACGAATGTACTATATTTGGAATTCGAAATCAAGCATTCAACAAGTACAAAGGAATCATTAGTTCATTCGAACACCACATCCGCCACAGCTTAAACTGCAGTCTAAGTGTCTGTAATCGATTGCACGTCTTCTTCCTAAGTTCATTTTGTGTTTGTACGACAGCGTATTGGACAAAGAAACTGCATTATCTAGAATACACCCATTAGCATTAGAATTAACAACCGAAATCGGAACAGACTCACCTGGTTCCTGGAATTGTATTTGATCATTATGTCGATTGTGTGTACTCAAGTCATTGATGTCTAGAATTCGCACCATCGATTTCCCGACATTGTTCAGCACAATCCTCGTGCATGGTGGAAGATCATTTCCACGATAATATGTAACTTGTGCAGACTCCAAACATCTCATATTCGACCGAAGAATTCCTCCTTTTAATAGCTTTGATGGAGTCTCTTTCGTCACCGAATGTCTGGCATTTCTATATTGCAGTAGAAAACTATCTACTCTCTTCTCCAGCCCATCAAATGTTGAGGCGGCAACAGAATCAATAGCAGTGTTCAATGTCCTGACAACATTTTCTACCTGACCATTAGAACAAGGATGTCTGGGAGCAGTAAACGGATGTTTGCACCCTATATCATTCAACCAGGTAGTGACTGCATCTGCAGCAAAATGAGAGCCATTATCGGTCACTAACACCATGGGAACACCTTCTCGACTAAACACCTTTCTTAAGGCTTGGATTGTGAAATCACAATTGGTGAAGTGGTGAAAGAACATCTGGCCACTTTGAAAAAGAATCAATGACTACAGGTTCATAGTATTTGCGCTGAAACGGACCACAATAGTCTGCATGAACTCTCTGCCAGGCCTCAGACCACACTGGCCATGGAGTCCACTTCGAAGGCTGACTTTTCAACTGATGACACTTTTCACAATTGTTTGCTGTTCGACATATATCTGCATTTATCTCTGCCCACCAACATGTGAGCCTCGACAAGGACTTCATTTTCTCAACACCGAAATGTCCACTATGAAGATCGTCAAGGATAGATTTACGCAGTGAATGAGGAATAACAACACGATCATTCAAGCACAAAACACCATCAGGAGTAGTGGATAGCTCATCCCGCCTTGAAAAATAGACCGGAAATCTTCCTTTCATATCTGGTCTAAAACCATCACCATCAACTAGGTATCCAAGACATTCGAAACTAGATACACAAAATGAACAGCTATTTGGATTCACTGTAATATTCTTCTCAATTAAACGACGCAATAAAGCAATAAGTCTTTGGTCATGAACTACTATGATGATCAGGAGTATTTGGATTATAGTACAAATGAAGAATCCCAGAAATAACGCAATTGCATCAAGAGGCACCAGATAAGCACAAACGAATGTACTATATTTGGAATTCGAAATCAAGCATTCAACAAGTACAAAGGAATCATTAGTTCATTCGAACACCACATCCGCCACAGCTTAAACTGCAGTCTAAGTGTCTGTAATCGATTGCACGTCTTCTTCCTAAGTTCATTTTGTGTTTGTACGACAGCGTATTGGACAAAGAAACTGCATTATCTAGAATACACCCATTAGCATTAGAATTAACAACCGAAATCGGAACAGACTCACCTGGTTCCTGGAATTGTATTTGATCATTATGTCGATTGTGTGTACTCAAGTCATTGATGTCTAGAATTCGCACCATCGATTTCCCGACATTGTTCAGCACAATCCTCGTGCATGGTGGAAGATCATTTCCACGATAATATGTAACTTGTGCAGACTCCAAACATCTCATATTCGACCGAAGAATTCCTCCTTTTAATAGCTTTGATGGAGTCTCTTTCGTCACCGAATGTCTGGCATTTCTATATTGCAGTAGAAAACTATCTACTCTCTTCTCCAGCCCATCAAATGTTGAGGCGGCAACAGAATCAATAGCAGTGTTCAATGTCCTGACAACATTTTCTACCTGACCATTAGAACAAGGATGTCTGGGAGCAGTAAACGGATGTTTGCACCCTATATCATTCAACCAGGTAGTGACTGCATCTGCAGCAAAATGAGAGCCATTATCGGTCACTAACACCATGGGAACACCTTCTCGACTAAACACCTTTCTTAAGGCTTGGATTGTGAAATCACAATTGGTGAAGTGGTGAAAGAACATCTGGCCACTTTGAAAAAGAATCAATGACTACAGGTTCATAGTATTTGCGCTGAAACGGACCACAATAGTCTGCATGAACTCTCTGCCAGGCCTCAGACCACACTGGCCATGGAGTCCACTTCGAAGGCTGACTTTTCAACTGATGACACTTTTCACAATTGTTTGCTGTTCGACATATATCTGCATTTATCTCTGCCCACCAACATGTGAGCCTCGACAAGGACTTCATTTTCTCAACACCGAAATGTCCACTATGAAGATCGTCAAGGATAGATTTACGCAGTGAATGAGGAATAACAACACGATCATTCAAGCACAAAACACCATCAGGAGTAGTGGATAGCTCATCCCGCCTTGAAAAATAGACCGGAAATCTTCCTTTCATATCTGGTCTAAAACCATCACCATCAACTAGGTATCCAAGACATTCGAAACTAGATACACAAAATGAACAGCTATTTGGATTCACTGTAATATTCTTCTCAATTAAACGACGCAATAAAGCAATAAGTCTTTGGTCATGAACTACTATGATGATCAGGAGTATTTGGATTATAGTACAAATGAAGAATCCCAGAAATAACGCAATTGCATCAAGAGGCACCAGATAAGCACAAACGAATGTACTATATTTGGAATTCGAAATCAAGCATTCAACAAGTACAAAGGAATCATTAGTTCATTCGAACACCACATCCGCCACAGCTTAAACTGCAGTCTAAGTGTCTGTAATCGATTGCACGTCTTCTTCCTAAGTTCATTTTGTGTTTGTACGACAGCGTATTGGACAAAGAACTGCATTATCTAGAATACACCCATTAGCATTAGAATTAACAACCGAAATCGGAACAGACTCACCTGGTTCCTGGAATTGTATTTGATCATTATGTCGATTGTGTGTACTCAAGTCATTGATGTCTAGAATTCGCACCATCGATTTCCCGACATTGTTCAGCACAATCCTCGTGCATGGTGGAAGATCATTTCCACGATAATATGTAACTTGTGCAGACTCCAAACATCTCATATTCGACCGAAGAATTCCTCCTTTTAATAGCTTTGATGGAGTCTCTTTCGTCACCGAATGTCTGGCATTTCTATATTGCAGTAGAAAACTATCTACTCTCTTCTCCAGCCCATCAAATGTTGAGGCGGCAACAGAATCAATAGCAGTGTTCAATGTCCTGACAACATTTTCTACCTGACCATTAGAACAAGGATGTCTGGGAGCAGTAAACGGATGTTTGCACCCTATATCATTCAACCAGGTAGTGACTGCATCTGCAGCAAAATGAGAGCCATTATCGGTCACTAACACCATGGGAACACCTTCTCGACTAAACACCTTTCTTAAGGCTTGGATTGTGAAATCACAATTGGTGAAGTGGTGAAAGAACATCTGGCCACTTTGAAAAAGAATCAATGACTACAGGTTCATAGTATTTGCGCTGAAACGGACCACAATAGTCTGCATGAACTCTCTGCCAGGCCTCAGACCACACTGGCCATGGAGTCCACTTCGAAGACTGACTTTTCAACTGATGACACTTTTCACAATTGTTTGCTGTTCGACATATATCTGCATTTATCTCTGCCCACCAACATGTGAGCCTCGACAAGGACTTCATTTTCTCAACACCGAAATGTCCACTATGAAGATCGTCAAGGATAGATTTACGCAGTGAATGAGGAATAACAACACGATCATTCAAGCACAAAACACCATCAGGAGTAGTGGATAGCTCATCCCGCCTTGAAAAATAGACCGGAAATCTTCCTTTCATATCTGGTCTAAAACCATCACCATCAACTAGGTATCCAAGACATTCGAAACTAGATACACAAAATGAACAGCTATTTGGATTCACTGTAATATTCTTCTCAATTAAACGACGCAATAAAGCAATAAGTCTTTGGTCATGAACTACTATGATGATCAGGAGTATTTGGATTATAGTACAAATGAAGAATCCCAGAAATAACGCAATTGCATCAAGAGGCACCAGATAAGCACAAACGAATGTACTATATTTGGAATTCGAAATCAAGCATTCAACAAGTACAAAGGAATCATTAGTTCATTCGAACACCACATCCGCCACAGCTTAAACTGCAGTCTAAGTGTCTGTAATCGATTGCACGTCTTCTTCCTAAGTTCATTTTGTGTTTGTACGACAGCGTATTGGACAAAGAAACTGCATTATCTAGAATACACCCATTAGCATTAGAATTAACAACCGAAATCGGAACAGACTCACCTGGTTCCTGGAATTGTATTTGATCATTATGTCGATTGTGTGTACTCAAGTCATTGATGTCTAGAATTCGCACCATCGATTTCCCGACATTGTTCAGCACAATCCTCGTGCATGGTGGAAGATCATTTCCACGATAATATGTAACTTGTGCAGACTCCAAACATCTCATATTCGACCGAAGAATTCCTCCTTTTAATAGCTTTGATGGAGTCTCTTTCGTCACCGAATGTCTGGCATTTCTATATTGCAGTAGAAAACTATCTACTCTCTTCTCCAGCCCATCAAATGTTGAGGCGGCAACAGAATCAATAGCAGTGTTCAATGTCCTGACAACATTTTCTACCTGACCATTAGAACAAGGATGTCTGGGAGCAGTAAACGGATGTTTGCACCCTATATCATTCAACCAGGTAGTGACTGCATCTGCAGCAAAATGAGAGCCATTATCGGTCACTAACACCATGGAACACCTTCTCGACTAAACACCTTTCTTAAGGCTTGGATTGTGAAATCACAATTGGTGAAGTGGTGAAAGAACATCTGGCCACTTTGAAAAAGAATCAATGACTACAGGTTCATAGTATTTGCGCTGAAACGGACCACAATAGTCCTGCATGAACTCTCTGCCAGGCCTCAGACCACACTGGCCATGGAGTCCACTTCGAAGACTGACTTTTCAACTGATGACACTTTTCACAATTGTTTGCTGTTCGACATATATCTGCATTTATCTCTGCCCACCAACATGTGAGCCTCGACAAGGACTTCATTTTCTCAACACCGAAATGTCCACTATGAAGATCGTCAAGGATAGATTTACGCAGTGAATGAGGAATAACAACACGATCATTTAAGCACAAAACACCATCAGGAGTAGTGGATAGCTCATCCCGCCTTGAAAAATAGACCGGAAATCTTCCTTTCATATCTGGTCTAAAACCATCACCATCAACTAGGTATCCAAGACATTCGAAACTAGATACACAAAATGAACAGCTATTTGGATTCACTGTAATATTCTTCTCAATTAAACGACGCAATAAAGCAATAAGTCTTTGGTCATGAACTACTATGATGATCAGGAGTATTTGGATTATAGTACAAATGAAGAATCCCAGAAATAACGCAATCGCATCAAGAGGCACCAGATAAGCACAAACGAATGTACTATATTTGGAATTCGAAATCAAGCATTCAACAAGTACAAAGGAATCATTAGTTCATTCGAACACCACATCCGCCACAGCTTAAACTGCAGTCTAAGTGTCTGTAATCGATTGCACGTCTTCTTCCTAAGTTCATTTTGTGTTTGTACGACAGCGTATTGGACAAAGAAACTGCATTATCTAGAATACACCCATTAGCATTAGAATTAACAACCGAAATCGGAACAGACTCACCTGGTTCCTGGAATTGTATTTGATCATTATGTCGATTGTGTGTACTCAAGTCATTGATGTCTAGAATTCGCACCATCGATTTCCCGACATTGTTCAGCACAATCCTCGTGCATGGTGGAAGATCATTTCCACGATAATATGTAACTTGTGCAGACTCCAAACATCTCATATTCGACCGAAGAATTCCTCCTTTTAATAGCTTTGATGGAGTCTCTTTCGTCACCGAATGTCTGGCATTTCTATATTGCAGTAGAAAACTATCTACTCTCTTCTCCAGCCCATCAAATGTTGAGGCGGCAACAGAATCAATAGCAGTGTTCAATGTCCTGACAACATTTTCTACCTGACCATTAGAACAAGGATGTCTGGGAGCAGTAAACGGATGTTTGCACCCTATATCATTCAACCAGGTAGTGACTGCATCTGCAGCAAAATGAGAGCCATTATCGGTCACTAACACCATGGGAACACCTTCTCGACTAAACACCTTTCTTAAGGCTTGGATTGTGAAATCACAATTGGTGAAGTGGTGAAAGAACATCTGGCCACTTTGAAAAAGAATCAATGACTACAGGTTCATAGTATTTGCGCTGAAACGGACCACAATAGTCTGCATGAACTCTCTGCCAGGCCTCAGACCACACTGGCCATGGAGTCCACTTCGAAGGCTGACTTTTCAACTGATGACACTTTTCACAATTGTTTGCTGTTCGACATATATCTGCATTTATCTCTGCCCACCAACATGTGAGCCTCGACAAGGACTTCATTTTCTCAACACCGAAATGTCCACTATGAAGATCGTCAAGGATAGATTTACGCAGTGAATGAGGAATAACAACACGATCATTCAAGCACAAAACACCATCAGGAGTAGTGGATAGCTCATCCCGCCTTGAAAAATAGACCGGAAATCTTCCTTTCATATCTGGTCTAAAACCATCACCATCAACTAGGTATCCAAGACATTCGAAACTAGATACACAAAATGAACAGCTATTTGGATTCACTGTAATATTCTTCTCAATTAAACGACGCAATAAAGCAATAAGTCTTTGGTCATGAACTACTATGATGATCAGGAGTATTTGGATTATAGTACAAATGAAGAATCCCAGAATAACGCAATCGCATCAAGAGGCACCAGATAAGCACAAACGAATGTACTATATTTGGAATTCGAAATCAAGCATTCAACAAGTACAAAGGAATCATTAGTTTCATTCGAACACCACATCCGCCACAGCTTAAACTGCAGTCTAAGTGTCTGTAATCGATTGCACGTCTTCTTCCTAAGTTCATTTTGTGTTTGTACGACAGCGTATTGGACAAAGAAACTGCATTATCTAGAATACACCCATTAGCATTAGAATTAACAACCGAAATCGGAACAGACTCACCTGGTTCCTGGAATTGTATTTGATCATTATGTCGATTGTGTGTACTCAAGTCATTGATGTCTAGAATTCGCACCATCGATTTCCCGACATTGTTCAGCACAATCCTCGTGCATGGTGGAAGATCATTTCCACGATAATATGTAACTTGTGCAGACTCCAAACATCTCATATTCGACCGAAGAATTCCTCCTTTTAATAGCTTTGATGGAGTCTCTTTCGTCACCGAATGTCTGGCATTTCTATATTGCAGTAGAAAACTATCTACTCTCTTCTCCAGCCCATCAAATGTTGAGGCGGCAACAGAATCAATAGCAGTGTTCAATGTCCTGACAACATTTTCTACCTGACCATTAGAACAAGGATGTCTGGGAGCAGTAAACGGATGTTTGCACCCTATATCATTCAACCAGGTAGTGACTGCATCTGCAGCAAAATGAGAGCCATTATCGGTCACTAACACCATGGGAACACCTTCTCGACTAAACACCTTTCTTAAGGCTTGGATTGTGAAATCACAATTGGTGAAGTGGTGAAAGAACATCTGGCCACTTTGAAAAAGAATCAATGACTACAGGTTCATAGTATTTGCGCTGAAACGGACCACAATAGTCTGCATGAACTCTCTGCCAGGCCTCAGACCACACTGGCCATGGAGTCCACTTCGAAGGCTGACTTTTCAACTGATGACACTTTTCACAATTGTTTGCTGTTCGACATATATCTGCATTTATCTCTGCCCACCAACATGTGAGCCTCGACAAGGACTTCATTTTCTCAACACCGAAATGTCCACTATGAAGATCGTCAAGGATAGATTTACGCAGTGAATGAGGAATAACAACACGATCATTCAAGCACAAAACACCATCAGGAGTAGTGGATAGCTCATCCCGCCTTGAAAAATAGACCGGAAATCTTCCTTTCATATCTGGTCTAAAACCATCACCATCAACTAGGTATCCAAGACATTCGAAACTAGATACACAAAATGAACAGCTATTTGGATTCACTGTAATATTCTTCTCAATTAAACGACGCAATAAAGCAATAAGTCTTTGGTCATGAACTACTATGATGATCAGGAGTATTTGGATTATAGTACAAATGAAGAATCCCAGAAATAACGCAATCGCATCAAGAGGCACCAGATAAGCACAAACGAATGTACTATATTTGGAATTCGAAATCAAGCATTCAACAAGTACAAAGGAATCATTAGTTCATTCGAACACCACATCCGCCACAGCTTAAACTGCAGTCTAAGTGTCTGTAATCGATTGCACGTCTTCTTCCTAAGTTCATTTTGTGTTTGTACGACAGCGTATTGGACAAAGAAACTGCATTATCTAGAATACACCCATTAGCATTAGAATTAACAACCGAAATCGGAACAGACTCACCTGGTTCCTGGAATTGTATTTGATCATTATGTCGATTGTGTGTACTCAAGTCATTGATGTCTAGAATTCGCACCATCGATTTCCCGACATTGTTCAGCACAATCCTCGTGCATGGTGGAAGATCATTTCCACGATAATATGTAACTTGTGCAGACTCCAAACATCTCATATTCGACCGAAGAATTCCTCCTTTTAATAGCTTTGATGGAGTCTCTTTCGTCACCGAATGTCTGGCATTTCTATATTGCAGTAGAAAACTATCTACTCTCTTCTCCAGCCCATCAAATGTTGAGGCGGCAACAGAATCAATAGCAGTGTTCAATGTCCTGACAACATTTTCTACCTGACCATTAGAACAAGGATGTCTGGGAGCAGTAAACGGATGTTTGCACCCTATATCATTCAACCAGGTAGTGACTGCATCTGCAGCAAAATGAGAGCCATTATCGGTCACTAACACCATGGGAACACCTTCTCGACTAAACACCTTTCTTAAGGCTTGGATTGTGAAATCACAATTGGTGAAGTGGTGAAAGAACATCTGGCCACTTTGAAAAAGAATCAATGACTACAGGTTCATAGTATTTGCGCTGAAACGGACCACAATAGTCTGCATGAACTCTCTGCCAGGCCTCAGACCACACTGGCCATGGAGTCCACTTCGAAGGCTGACTTTTCAACTGATGACACTTTTCACAATTGTTTGCTGTTCGACATATATCTGCATTTATCTCTGCCCACCAACATGTGAGCCTCGACAAGGACTTCATTTTCTCAACACCGAAATGTCCACTATGAAGATCGTCAAGGATAGATTTACGCAGTGAATGAGGAATAACAACACGATCATTCAAGCACAAAACACCATCAGGAGTAGTGGATAGCTCATCCCGCCTTGAAAAATAGACCGGAAATCTTCCTTTCATATCTGGTCTAAAACCATCACCATCAACTAGGTATCCAAGACATTCGAAACTAGATACACAAAATGAACAGCTATTTGGATTCACTGTAATATTCTTCTCAATTAAACGACGCAATAAAGCAATAAGTCTTTGGTCATGAACTACTATGATGATCAGGAGTATTTGGATTATAGTACAAATGAAGAATCCCAGAAATAACGCAATCGCATCAAGAGGCACCAGATAAGCACAAACGAATGTACTATATTTGGAATTCGAAATCAAGCATTCAACAAGTACAAAGGAATCATTAGTTCATTCGAACACCACATCCGCCACAGCTTAAACTGCAGTCTAAGTGTCTGTAATCGATTGCACGTCTTCTTCCTAAGTTCATTTTGTGTTTGTACGACAGCGTATTGGACAAAGAAACTGCATTATCTAGAATACACCCATTAGCATTAGAATTAACAACCGAAATCGGAACAGACTCACCTGGTTCCTGGAATTGTATTTGATCATTATGTCGATTGTGTGTACTCAAGTCATTGATGTCTAGAATTCGCACCATCGATTTCCCGACATTGTTCAGCACAATCCTCGTGCATGGTGGAAGATCATTTCCACGATAATATGTAACTTGTGCAGACTCCAAACATCTCATATTCGACCGAAGAATTCCTCCTTTTAATAGCTTTGATGGAGTCTCTTTCGTCACCGAATGTCTGGCATTTCTATATTGCAGTAGAAAACTATCTACTCTCTTCTCCAGCCCATCAAATGTTGAGGCGGCAACAGAATCAATAGCAGTGTTCAATGTC